GTGACCTCCAGAAGTCGATGATCATCTCCTTGGTTTTGTCCACGCTGAGCAGCAGGTTGTTCTCGCTGCACCAGCCCTCTGGGGTTTCACTTCATCTCTGTTCTTTGGCTCTTTGTTATGGTGAATGAGTCCCACCACTGTGGTACCATCAGCAGCGTGATGGTCTGGATCTCCTCATGTGTGGCTGCACAGTCGAGTGTCAGCAGTGTGGACAGCAGTAGACTGAGCACACAGCCTGGAGGAGATCCAGAGCTCAGCGGGATGGAGTTGGAGATGTTCTTTCCGACCCGGACAGACTGGGGTCTTTAGGTCAGAAAGTCCAGGACCCAGAGCCATTATCCAGACCCAGGAGGAGGAGCTTCTCCATTAGTCTCTGGGGGATGATGGTATTAAACGCTGAGCTGAAGTCAGTGTACAGGATTCTAGCGTAGGGGTCTTCATTGTCCAGGTGGAGGATGACTGAGGTGGTGGATCTTCATCCTCTGTGGGGTGGTTGGGACGGTAGGCTGACTGAAGGGGGTCCAGCGATACAGGAAGGCCGGCTGGGACCTGGGTCTGGTCAGCCGTTCAAAACACTTCACCACAGTCGGCGATAGTCATCCAGACGGGCTACAGCTGATCTCTCTGCCACTGGAACTGTGGTGGATGTCCTGAAGCATGTGGGGACAACGGCCTGACCGAGGGAGATGCTGAAAACGTCAGTCAGCACATCTGCCAGCTGGTCAGACTCTGAGCACACGTCCCGGGATGTTGTCCGGTCCTGGTGCTTGTCGTGGGTTGACCCTGGCGAGGGTTAAAATGACTGCAAAGACACACCACATGCCCAGAAAGAGACCTGACTGAAAGAGGTTCAAACGAACTCCACAGACGGAGAAACATCACAAACAGACAACAGCAAAGACACACCACAAATATCAAACAGATGCAAAACACATCAGCTTTCACTGGCGTCTTTTTGTCTCCTTCGGTTTGGATGTCTGTCGTCCATGTGGAACAGGTCAGGAGACTGTTCGACATTCACTCTTTGTCTAGAGAGGCTAAAACACGTGCAGACCGTTAATACGATGGGAGGCAGAGTTGAAACGGTGTGGTGATCTGTGAAAAGCCGTCCTGAGGTGCCAGTTAGAGTTCGTTTCATCAGGCGTTGTTTTGAAATGTGCACAGACAGAAAGGAGCTCCTATTGACCTGAGCCGTCACTTCTTTCATCTGATCAACCACGAGACTGAAGCGTGAGTCATTGTTGTACCTGGTGAGGAGCTGCTTGGTCTCTGAGATGAAACGCAGTCATCTGTAGTTGCTCATTTCAACTCTTCTTCTTGCTCTTTGTGTCTCTGGTGTCCCAGCTTTTCTCTTTGGATTTCGTCGCCTTCTTCTCCTCCCAGACTGTCAGCCTTCGTCGCAGGTTCTGTGTCCAGCACCACATCTCAGCCTCGGCACCACTCTGGACCAAAATAAAGACAGACAGCATTTCAACGATTTCTCGGTGCGTCCTTCTTAGTGTCTGTTTGCTTTTTCTCTGGCAGCGTGTAGGCCGCTCTGCTTTGGTGAATTTGTATCCTCAGGCTTTCTGGATGCAGCTCAGATTCTGGTGGGACCGAGCTGAGTGAGAGGATGTGGACTGCCGGAGCAGAGGTTAAACTGCAGCAAACCGAGGTGATCCGACAACTGACTGGTTTGGGCCCACGGCTGTGTCATAATAGTAATGATTTATTTGTAGAGCACAGTTCATGCAGCGTGCACAACTCCATCAAAAGGAGAGTCAAGTACACAAAACATGTAGAAATAAATAAGTCCGATACCAGCAATTACCTGAAACTACATGAAAACAACATAAATAAAAAAAGACCCTCTTTAGTTTTTGTCTCGAAGAACAGTTAATAAAATGAATTGAAATGAAAGGGATTTAATGTTCTCCAGCATAATTCAGCATCAGAAATACTTTACTGAGCCTGAAGGGAAACTGCTGACGCTACAGTCGCTGCCATTCAGTGTCAGTGATGTGAGCAGCAGGAAAACATGTCAGATGAATAGGAGGAGAAAAGTACGTCCTGAAATTCTAAACATCAGCGCCATCGTGTAGCCTCCCACTGAAGAAGGAAACAGCAGGCGTCACTGCAAGACGCTGAAACTAACAGAAGTAGCAACAAAAACAATCTGATGAACATCATGACGTTGGTTCTGAATCGTGCTTCAACAGAAAT